GAAGTGGGGGAAGATCTAGGGGCAAAGCTGGAGTGGGGGGGGCAGGGCAAGTTATATGGAAGATGGGGGGTGTTACATGGCTAAGGGGGGGGGTCTGTGGCGTTGGTACATTGGGGGCCAGTTTTTACCAGAGAATGTGACATGGAAACCAAAGCAGGAGACTACTCTTCCCCATACCTGTGGAAAGAAGGGGCAGGTTAGGAGGGAGTAGCCAGGACCCCCAGAATCCCTGACCTACCCCCCACCATCCAAGTGAGCTGCTACATCTAATGCAAACAGATCTACCACTTCCCCCTTGGCTCCTGTCCTGTGGCTTCCCACTGTGGGCTTCGGGACCTCTGGAGTTGCAGCACAACTCAGGTTTGGCCCAACTGCCCCATCATCATGGCAATAGGGGGCTGGCCAGGCCAAATTTGTGTGAGTGGTGTTACAACTTGGTGCATTGGGTAACAATGCCACTCATACAGAGTTGGCATGGCTGCCCCCTCCCCCACATTGTCATGATGAAGAGGCAGCTGGTCCATACTTGAGCAGTGATGCAAACCTGTGCGCCAGGTTGCAGTGCCTATAGTGGAGACCTGAGCCCAACCAGCCCCAACACCTTTTAACTAATTTTGATGACCCAATTTTGTGTTGAAAACCAGCTGTAGGCTCTTACAACCACATACATGAGCCATAAAACCCTTTTGTTGGTTGGGGCAGAATTCCCCTTGCAAACCCTGGAGCAGGGGTCAGGAGGGAAGTTTTCTGTTGCTTGCACTGTATGGTAGGCTTGGCCAGATTCAATAGTCATCACAGGTTAATTTCACCTGGCATGCTGAAACTGATGAGCAGGGGTGGGGGGGGGGGGGGGGGAGAAGGGAAGGGGTGCCTTGGTAACAGTTGACCAAGCACTACCTCCTCCACACCCTGCATCTGTAGGTATCTGGTGTCACTAGCCACCGAGGGAGCTCTCTGCAGGCCTGTTGTCACAGCTCCACCTGCTGGCTGGGTGTGCAGTGGCCATTCCTGGGCAGGAGCTTTTTACCAGTGGGCTTGTCTCCCTCACAGGTGGGGTTTGTCATCCTCATGGCCCTGGCTGGGGATCTGATCTGCCCTGCCAAGACTGTAGCCTTTCTTGTGCCTACAGGGATCTGGTGTCACCAGCTGTGTAGAGAGCCCGTGCAGCACTGCTGCAAAAATGTACTAAAATAGATACAAATCAGGAGGGGAGGAAGGCTAAAAATAAAAACTGATATTAACAATCAGATTTATAAAAACAACCCTATTACCTAGACTTGGCAGAATTTGTTTATCTGGGCAGCCTGGGACTGCTATCCAGTAGGGCAGCCAAGATTCTTTGTTGGGAGCATCCCAGAATTGGAAAGGGGCTTGCATCACTGCACCCTCCTCCCCTAAGACTCCTTTCTGTGAACCTGCAGGTGCAGCCTGGAATCTCTGCTTTTATTCGTTTGAATTTAGCGTGGCTTACAATAAAGTGAATCAGTAAAACTTCTAATGTAGACAAGACCATGAGTCTCTTTACAGGTGACCCTGTCCTTAGAAGACCAGACTTCCTGGATCTTCAAAGGTAAAAACAAAGCTGGAAAACTGTCATCTTAAAAAAAAAAAAAAAAAAAGTGGGGGGGGGGGAGGGGGGAAATCAGGCCACAGATACACTCATAAAGACCCAAAAAGGCATGTGCCCAACCACGTTGGTGTTTCTAAGAAGAATCTCTGCAGTTTCTCCTAATGATACATTGCTAGTACTTTATAGCTGCAAAGAATCTCTTGACTATGAAATACTACGGTGTGTCTAGCTTCCTCAAGTGGAAGAACTACTAAATTGAGAGAGAAGTCTCCTTATTTTCCCTGATGTGGCTTCTATACCACTGTTGCTTGCCATAGCTTTGAGTTGTAAAGTGGCTGGAGGGTTTGATCTCACTGACTTAAATCACCTGGCTTTTTAAATCTTTCTTCAATCTGGTTGAGGCTCCATACATCTAATCTGAACCTATACTTTTGCAATGTTAAATTTTAAATTGCTGCTTTTAATCACAGTTTACAATCAGTAAAGCAGGGAAGCTTGATTTAAATAAGTGACTTTAATCTTGTGTTGCCTTCGTACTTCAATTTCCTAAACAGATTCATTCTCATTGTTTGGTATAATCATTAAAACTCATCAACTTTCAATGAAAAATAGCCTTTACTCTAAATTTGATAGAGCATTTACTCAGACTCCTTTTTTACTTTTTAATGTTAAATGGTGAATGACATTTTTTTTATTTACTAGATTTTTTTTTTTAACTTTCAATTTGTCAAGCTACATTTGAATGGAGATCAGAATTCAATGAAACACACAAACAGCATTTTAAAACTTTAAAAATGTAGACCAGAAAAATGGCCACACTGGGTCAGACCAATGGTCCAGCTAGCCCAATATCTTGTCTCTGACAGTGACCAGTGCCAGACACTTCAGAGAGAATGAACAAAACAGGGCAACTTTGAGTGATCCATCCCTGTTGGCCAATAGCAGATTCTGGCACTTGGAGGTTTAGGGACATCTGGAGCATGGAGTTACATCTGTGACCATCTTGGCTAATAGCTGCTGATGGTCCAATCCTCCATTAACTTAACTAGATTTAGAAAAAGAATCAGATATATTTTGACATCACCTGGCAACAAGTTCCACAGGTTGACTGTGCGTTGTGAGAAGAATTACATCCTTCGGTTTGTCTAAAACCTACTGCCTATTAATTTCAGTGGGTGACCTCTGGTTCTTGTCATGTGAGGGAGTAAATAACACTTCCTTATTCACTTTTTTTTTTCCTCACACCATTCATTATGTTATAGACCTCTGTCCTATTTCTCTCTCTCTCTCTCTCTCACGTTCACTCACTCACTCTTCTTTTTTGCTAAGCTGAACAGTCCCAGTCTCTCCTCATATGGAAGAGGTTCCATATCCCTAATAATTTGTTGCCCGTCACTGCACCTCTTCAAATTCTAATATCTTTTTTGAGATAGGGCAACCAAAACTGCCTGCAGTATTCAAGGTGTGGCTGTCCCATGGATTTATATAGTGGTGGTATGATATTGTTAAACTTATCTTTCTATGTATCAAGGCATTTAAGATACTCTCATTTAGCAAACTGATTAAACAAATCGGCTCTTGACTGTAGCTAGTGAATTGATTGTTTCTGGTCACCATGGGCAAGATTTTTCAAGGTACTTGTGTTCTTTTGCATATCCCAGTAGGCACTTATCTGCATGTTTAGACCCCTAAATACCACTGAATAAGCATCCAGATTGTCAGGTTTTAGAGGTATTAGAGATCCTCCTCTCCCACCTGATTCCTCTTCATACATTGGAAGAAAACAAACTTTACAGCTCTCTCAATTCCTGATTGGTTTTTCAGTTTTGAATGAATTAGTTCAAATAGGGGGTGGGTGGGTGTGTCTGCCCCTGAAACTGACCTTAAAAGTAAATAAAGCAAACGCTTTCTGCCCAACACAAACAGAGTACTTCCTTTTGGAAAAATGTAAATGTCAGCACTTGCTCCATTGCAAAGACTGAAAACAATATAGCCACTTATTGCAAAACATGACATGACCTATTTATAAAACTTGAATTGACCTCAGAAAACAAAGTTGTTTCCCCCTTCTTCATATAATTAAAGCACATTTTGCACACAAATTGAGGGCTCATTAATGCTGCATGTTTTAAAATTATTTTAATTATAGTATGGTTAAGCCTGAACACGGGTTTGTGACGTTGTGCAGTCTATATGGTTTTATAAAAACATAATAAGTGAATATAATGTAACTGGGATATGCTTCATGCAAAAGGTCTCTTGTAAGGTATCATTAAAAAGCTTATAATCTACTGAGTGTGATCATCCGATTTGTATAAATGTACCACTCTTGTATCTAAAACTAGAAATATAAAATATAATTCTGAGGGCCTATTGTAATTATGTAAAGTGTGGGCCATTGATGATGGTTTGGAATCTTGATGACTCCCATTGTCTGCAGATGGCTGTGTTTACCTGTGAGTCTTCCTGTATATGTGTGTGCTGGCAAGTGGGTAATGAAGTCTTGCAGTGACGTGATCATGTCACCTGAACTGGAATCCATCTTTAACCTGGTGCTTTTTTAGTGGGGGGGTGGAAACCCAGAGGGACAAAGGGTTCCCGCCTTATGCAAAAGTTATATAAAGGGGTGGAAGAGAACAAAGGAGGGAGAGGAGCCATCATGAAGAATCCCCTAGCTATCACCTGAGCTGGAACAAGAGCTGTACCAGGGGAAAGAATTGTGCCCAGGCCTGGAAGGTGTCCAGTCTGAGAAAAAACTTCCTGAAGCATCTCTGAGGGTGAGATTATCTCTATTCAGTTTGATTAGGCATAGATTTGCGCATTTTATTTTATTTTGCTTGGTGACTTACTTTGTTCTGCCTGTTACCACTTGGAACCACTTAAATCCTATTTTCTGTATTTAATAAAATCACTTTTAGTGTGGACAAGGCATGACATTCTATTAACTTATCATAGGATAAGCATGCTAAAATACAAATTCTAACCTCATCCAAAGTAGACAAGCTTAGTATATGGCAGCAGGCTACTTTGCTTTTCACTATTCCCTGAGCTGGAAGCAGTAAAGTTATCTCTTGTGGTGGTGGGCTTTTCCTTGGTTGAGATTTCAGCGTGGTTGAAGAGGTGTTCCGCTTCTTCTTAAATGTGGAGGTGTCAGAAGTTTCAGTTACACTCAAATATTTGAAAAGTATTTTGAAGACTAAAGGCCCTCAATAGCAGTACAGCCATTCTAGAACTGGCCAAATGGCATGATCTCTGCCATGTCAGTGCTTAATGACCTAATGATTAGTTTGTTAAATTACTTAATTCAGTGTTCTCCCAGAAAGTTAAAGCTGCTTGAAATTTTGTGGTACAAGAAGATGGCCTGCCTTGGAAACACCCATTGAAAGAGTAATGTGGGAAAATAAATCTGAAACTCATGATTAAATTTCAGGGTTCCTTGGAGATAACGCAGAGCACAGAAGATGATCCTCTACTCGATGCACCACTTCTTCCACCTCATGCGTTACATTCCCAATTGAGACCGAGATTCCATGCTATTCCTACAGTCTTGGTTGCCAATTTTCTGTTGCTTATACATGTAAGTTTGGGGAAGAATCATCAGATTTTTTTTTTTTTTTATTAACTTGGGTAGAAGGAGATAATGGGAAATTCTGGTTCTCCAGCTGTGATGTATTGGATCTAAAGCAGGGATTGTGGGGATGGAGAGAAGTAACTTGTGTTGCATACTCCTCTTACCTTGTATTTTAAACAATCCATCCCAACACTACAAGCTTCTCACTCTCATGGATATGGCAAGTAATCTTTAATCTAGTCAGATAGGAAGTCATTTAGGTTGAGTGTTTTGGATAATGTCAGTGCTACAAAATGACATTTAAATTAGGATGTTGCCTCAGGACCAAGAAAACATTCCTGTACTTAAACTTGTGTAGAGTTGATTTAAAAGATTTAGTAATATTTCATATTAAAGACTAATCCAATCTAAATTTTTGACTTGCTTCTTAGTTAGTTCTAGTAAATTTAGCCTTGTCTGTACTCACTACTTCTAGTGCCTGATAAAGATTCCCGAGTTGTTGTCCTAGCCCACCTTCCAGCTGCTCGGGTTAGGAAAAAAGTCTTAGGCCTCATATGTAAGGAAACTTGGACTGATGTAACTACATCAGTGTGTTTAACAGAATTTGGGTAGATCTAATGTGGACAATGCGTTAATGTCACATCTGCAGCACTCCTTCCCTTTTTTGTTTGTTTTAAAGGCTCAGTCTACATATCAACTAAACCAGTTTCCTAAAATGGACTTCACTAGATTTGAGCAACCCCCTTGTGTGGAGACTCTTAAACCAATTTAAGAGTGCATAAAGTCAATTTAGAAATCAATGTAGTTGGTGTAACTTCCTTATGTAGACAAGCCCTAAACTCCCTGTATGTTGGTAACTAGAAACATTAAAATATGGCTTCTCTCTGACAAGCTTTAGCTTGTATTCTCAAGCACAGCTCCATCTGAATTTTTCTCACCATCCCTTTTTCACACCACCCAGATACTCATCACTTGGGACAGAGGGGTCTTCTCAAGCTGGGGGGAGAATGGCAGGAGCCTACCAAGGATGGCAAAGGTTTGGGGGGAAATGGTGGCAACCAAATGAGTGTCTTAAAGATCATATCGTTGAGGCAGGAGGGAATAGGGAACATTCATTCCTCAGTAACTTGTACGTGTAGCTCTTAAGCTGCTAAGTTTGGGGTGCAGAAAAGGCTGGGGGGGGGGAGGGAGGGAAAAGGAAGGAACACTCAATCACCTGGTTGTCTGAGGGAGTCCTGCTACTCCAAACCAGATGTCCAGAATGCTTTACCTCCTGTCAAACTCAAAGTCCTCTTGAAATCAATTTTCACAAATTTGCATGCTTAAAACCTCAGATTTACTCCGTTTGCAACCTTCTTTTTGCTTTCCAGAGACTCCAGCTCCATTCTCACCTATGCATTCATAAACATTTAACTTTCCCTTACCTCAAAACTGAACCTTCACTGAGTATGTCAAATTGATCTGTTGACCTTCTGGAATATTGATCTATCTATTTCACTCCATTACCATATTATCTAAGCACTTGACAATTTTTAATGCATTTGTCCTTGATAGGGAAGTGCTATTATCCCCTTCTCACAGATGGGGGACTGAGCCACAGAGAGACTAAGTGACTTTGCAAAGCTCACACAGGAAGTTGGTGGCACAGTAGGGAATCAAACCCAGATTTCCCAAGTCTCATCACCATAAACATTAGGCCATCCTTCCCTCTCCAGTCAATTCTGAGGATGTACACACTGCATAATATTTGCTCAGTTTCCATCCTAATCCTGGTAATTTAAAATATACATACCTATAGTTCCATGTTGGAATACCTGAGAAACAGCAAAGGTATTAAAAATACCGCTTAAGTAACTGGACAAAATAAAAATGACAGTGGCATTCTAAATTACCTGTCCAGTGGGCAAGACACTGGCCTGGGAGATGGAAAATCTGAATTTTATTCACAGCTTTGTCACTGACAGGCTGTGTGACCTTGGGTAAATCACTTAATCTTTCTATGTGCTTTTTTTAAATCTGTAAAATGGAAATGAAACTTTAGTATTCTGAAGTGTAAGGAAGAATTTGGAAATGGAAGGATGAAGAGCTAAGAGTGTAGGTAGTTATTATAATGGTAGTTTAGCGGCATAACTAACTTTCTCAAACAGATGCAGGGTGAGAAGTCATATCCACTCTCCAGACATAAAAACAATTTCTGGCTGATCTCCATTACAAGGTGTTCTTTTAATGAGTGGATCCAGTTCAAGTGTTGTATAAAAAAGTATTGTACTTGTCCAGAATTAATTACCTGGATTAAGGTAGTAGAGATGTAGTTATTGGACACTTAATTAAACATACCAGACAAAAATAGCTCATGATTTCTAAACTGAAATCACTTGGATTATAAACTTAAATTAACTCTTGGCACCATCTCTTAGAAAAGTGGAAATCCTTAACTAAGTTTTTTGGTGAGGAGGAAGACTAAACTACATGTTAAATCCACATGCTTTTAAATGTCAAAAATTTGCAGAACTCGGTCCTATTAGTTCTCTATCTAGAATGCATGGGCTTATACTGTGGAGTATTATTGTAACAGGATATACACTACTGTTAGTTTGATACATGGAAGATCTAAATCATGGGAGGGGGAAAAATGTAAGGCATTTACTTTCTTCCCTACAAACTTAAGATCACTCTGAAGTGGACCTACTATTAAATGGCAGCTTAGTATTATAAGTACTTGTAGATAAAGGTTTGGAGAGCTTGGAGTCCAATTGTGTGTGTGTGTTTGGTCTCCTCAGAATTTAAAATGCTCTTGTTTAGGATTTTAGTAGATCAGGGAGGCTTAGAATCAAAACCTCTGTCACTCTTTTGGGTTTTTAATTGTGTAGACTAGTTTTGTAAGTACCTGGTTTATATAGTATAAACTAAAAACAAACCACCCGTGTTATCTCGCAGGATAATTATATTTGAGCACTCTTACGGGATTGTGGTCCCTTCTGCTACAACTAGTTTACTGTTGACCGTGACAATCCCGTGAGAGGATAAGGCAGTAGAATAATTAAACAAGGCTTAAATGCCTCCTTTAACACTTTTTTTTTTTTTTTTTTTTTTTTGAAAGCCACTATACCTATCCTCTTCAGCTTTGTGAAAGCCTGAGTCACCAACGTAGTCTGCACAAAACATCTTGTAGACAGTACAAGGAAGGATGTTTAACTTAATTCTCTTGACTAAAAAGCTGTGTCCTCTTATCTGATTCTTCAGCCACTCAAGGCCTTGGGCCACTAAGCTGCTTTTTGCTTTTTTAAAAATGGCACTAATAACAGGACTGGAAGTTGGTGGTTACCTACAGATCAGCTGTCATGACCTGATTACATTCAATATGGGCAACCAGAGGACAGTCCCAAACAGGAATGTATACTTGGTGTTCCAAAAGGGCTAGTTTCCCAAAGCTGAGGAAAATTATGAGCAATGCTGATTGGGAGGAAAAATTAGAAAAATGGGAGAGTCCTTTGAGTTTATTAGGTGGTCAAAAAGCCACAGCTTCACAAAGAGGACAACTTTGGCTAAAAGCACATCTTGGTGCAGTGAAGGCAGCGATTATAAATTACAAAAGCAATATAGCACATGTAAAGGGAAATAGATAGCAATTGACATAAATTAGAAATCATGAAATGTATAAAATAAGGGAAGCTAAAGACCTCTGGGAAAAATCCATCGCTGGTAAAGCTGAGGACAATAAGTAGTCTTAGTACTATATGCTAGAAACAAAAAAAATCCTAGCAATGTTATTGGTCCATGGGTAGATGGAGGTGGTAAAATTTAATAATGATGCAAAAAAGGCAGAACAAATATTTCAGTTCTGTATTCAGGAAGAAGCAGCATGATGTACTTATCGTACAAGGATGAAGTATCTTCTAGAAAACTGCATTAGGGATTCTAGGGATCTCTCCCCCCCCCCCCTTTCATTTGAACCAATCCAGAAAATAAGGTATAGTAGTTAAATTTTGGTAATATTGCTTATATTCGAACTATTAACCTTAAGCTTTTCTTCTTTCCCTTCTTTCACAGGTTGCTTTTGTTGTCTTAGTATTTTTAGCAGGTATATATTGTTCTTATGTAAACCCAAATGAGGATGAATGCCCTGGAAACTACACCAACCCACTTAAGGTGCAAAGTGTCATAATCATTGCGAAGGTAATTCTGTGGATTCTGCATGTTGTCTTTGAACGATATGTTCAGCATCATCACGGTAAAGTCAGATGCAGAGGATACCTCCTGATCTACCGATCAACAAGACATCTTAAAAGGCTGCCACTCCTTATACATTCTATAGGTGAGATAAACCGATTTGAATTTTTCTCTTTTATGGATTCTGTATCAACAAATATTGTGAACTGAACTACTTCATCTACACTTTATGAACTCATAATTTTTAAGGTGTGGCATACTAGTTTGTTTGTGAGTGCTGTGCTTAATAGTTAAATACAAACCTCCCTACTCTGTTTTTATCACTGGAGCAGCAGGCCAGAATGCACCTGAGTTGAAATAGATTCAGAAATAATAGCCATTGACTGGGTGTCTTGTCCCATCAACTAAATGTGGTAGCCATAATGTCCTTAGAGCGAACATGCGCTGCATTTGGCTGCTAGTAATTTTTCCCGGTTTCTGATGGACTGTTGGCTGTTTAAATGCTGACTCGCATGCATCCATAGGGCCCCAGGAATACTCTTGGCTGACTTTACTTTCTGAAGCCATTGTAGGCTTCATATAGTAATAAGAATCTGCACTACTTAATCAGTGTGCAGGCTTCTAATCTTGACTCTGCAGTCAAACTCCCGAACTTAAGAGCAAAGGGTGTTCAGGTTGGAGAAAAGCAGTCATGTAACATGCCCCATTTTACAAAAAGGGCTGGGGTGGAGAACAACTATGTGGTCTACTCTGTATCATTATGAAACAGCACAGACTTTCTCATTTTCATGTATGGAGAGATCATGTGCATGTGTGGAGAGTGTTTCCAAGGGGTGCATTCCATAACTGCAAAATGGAAGAAAAGTCTGAAGAGGTCTTATCCCCCTTTACCATTTTCCACATACTCCAACTTCTAATATGTCTTAGGACATATGTACACTATAGTGGCACAGCTACAGCACTGCTGGTGTGCTGCTGTAGCATAGATGCTTCCTATATTAGAGATAATGAAGGAAACCCCTTCCACCAAGGTGGTAACTAGGTCGATGGAAGAGTTCTTCCATCAATCTAGCCATGTATACACTGGGGTTAGGTTGACCTAACTGTGGCACACAAGGCATGATGATTTTTCACAGCCCTGAGTGATACAGTTAGGTTGATCTGCTTTTTTTAGTGTAGCCCAGGCCTAGGTTGCATGTTGCTGAAGTTTCAAGCAACATAAAACTCCTTAATTTGCAGCAGGATTCATGTTATGAATGCTACTTCATTCCTACTTTCCCTGGGGCAAAGAGGATTCTTGGCAGCATTTTAACTCTGTACGTTCTTTAGTTTTACTTTTTCTTCCTAGTGGCGGCAAGCATATAAGGTGTTTAACTAGCAGCAGCTGTCCAGCTGTTTCCAGAAACTGAAATTAATTCTTGCCTAAAATCATATGGTCATGGCTCATTTTTGAATAGGGGTCCTTTTTATAGGAAGGCACTGATTGTGGAGAATAAAACCTAAGCTGACTACATAGTGTGCTTCAAATAGCTGAAATGGAAACTTCTCTGTTATCTTGATAACACGTGTGTGGTCTTACAGTTTGATGTACTAATTTCCTTATGTTAGTTTAACTATGTTCCTTTTGCAAGCTTAGGGCTTCTAGTATACGTAATGGTTAAAATTCCGAGTGTGTAAACACCCAAGCCAAACTTCCTTGTTGGGGATGAAGGTCAACTTCCCTCAAACACTACTGAGAAGTGAAGGTGGAAATTAAATGTAATGCCACATGTCATAAAGTGGCAATTTGGCCTTAACAGTTCAATCATCCAACATAGATTCTAGGACTGGAAGGGACCTCGAGAGGTCATCAAGTCCAGTCCCCTCCCCGTATGGCAGGACCAAATACTGTCTAGACCATCCCTGAGAGACATTTATCTAACCTACTCTTAAGTATCTCCAGAGATGGAGATTCCACAACCTCCCTAGGCAATTTATTCCAGTGTTTAACCACCCTGACCGTTAGGAACTTTTTCCTAATGTCCAACCTAAACCTCCCTTGCTGCAGTTTAAGCCCATTGCTTCTTGTTCTATCCTTAGAGGCTAAGGTGAACAAGTTTTCTCCCTCCTCCTTATGACACCCTTTTAGAGACCTGAAAACTGCTATCATGTCCCCTCTGTCTTCTCTTTTCCAAACTAAACAAACCCAGTTCTTTCAGCCTTCCTTCATAGGTCATGTTCTCAAGACCTTTAATCATTCTTGTTGCTCTTCTCTGGACCCTCTGCAATTTCTCCACATCTTTCTTGAAATGCGGTGCCCAGAACTGGACACAATACCCCAGTTGCGCCTAACCAGCGCAGAGTAGAGCAGAAGAATGACTTCTCGGGTCTTGCTCACAACAAACCTGTTAATGCATCCCAGAATCACGTTTGCTTTTTTTGCAACAGCATCACACTGTTGACTCATATTTAGCTTGTGGTCCACTATAACCCCTAGATCCCTTTCTGCCGTACTCCTTCCTAGAGAGTCTCTTCCCATTCTGTATGTGTGAAACTGATTGTTCCTTCCTAAGTGGAGCACTTTGCATTTGTCTTTGTTAAACTTCATCCTGTTTACCTCAAACCATTTCTCCAGTTTGTCCAGATCATTTTGAATTATGACCCTGTCCTCCAAAGCAGCTGCAATCCCTCCCAGTTTGGTATCATCCGCAAACTTAAGCATACTTTCTATGCCAATATCTAAGTCGTTGATGAAGATATTGAACAGAGCCGGTCCCAAAACAGACCCCTGCGGAACCCCACTTGTTATACCTTTCTAGCAGGATTGGGAACCATTAATAACTACTGAGTACGGTTATCCAGCCAGTTATGCACCCACCTTATAGTAGCCCCATCTAAGTTGTATTTGCCTAGTTTATTGATTAAAAATATCATGCAAGACCATATCAAATGCCTTACTAAAGTCTAGGTATACCACATCCACCGCTTCTCCCTTATCCACAAGAGTCATTATCCTATCAAAGAAAGCGATCAGATTGGTTTGACATAATTTGTTCTTTACAAATCCATGCTGGCTATTCCCTATCACCTTATCACCTTCCAAGTGTTTGCAGATTTCCTTAAATACATAGTATACTGTTCATGCTCTGCTTCAAAGTAGTAAATGAGTTCTACACCTACCTCACAGCTGAAAGATGTCTTATGTTCCCTAGAATGTTGTAAGAACTCTACAGCACAAAAGAAGGACATGGTCCCTACTTTGAATAACTTAGTTTCTATTTTATATCTGACACAAGAAGTGCATGGGGATGGAGATTGACACATGGGAGGGGAATGGGAATTCAAATGTCTTTTCTGCCTGGTTTTGGAACAGGGATTTGATCTTGGTATCCCTCGTCCTAGGTGAGTAGCCTAGCCACTGGGCTACTGGATATTCTGGGGTGGGTCTCACAATTTCTCCTGTTCGAGCTGTTGCACTTTATATAAGTAAGAAGGATTTTAATTAAATGAAGCTAGTGCCTTGGTAGACTAGATTTGGGAAATAACTTCAAGCATCACTCAAGTAAAAATCATATTTAGATAATGGGCTCTAATGTGTACAGTTACACTCACTCAGCTGTAATACGTGTATTTAAAACTTCTGATCTGCATGTATGTATAAAAATGTGCTCATACTTACCTAAGAACTAAATTCTCTTAAATATTTGCAACTCCTCTTCTCAAAGTTAAACTGAAATGATGTGTTTGTAGTACAAGACAGACCCATAATCGGAGTTCTATATTGGATCTGTAGAACGAGATTGATGTACTGAAAGGTCAAATATTAGACAATAGGTCTAACATTCTTGTCAAACAATGACAACATTACTGATTCATTGTATATCTTAGCTGTCACTGAATTTTTTTGTGCATTCACTTGAAGGCTTCAAGAACTATAGAATGAAGCATTCTGGTCCTGTAGGACTTCTAACTTAACAGTTTCACAAATAACTGTAATTACAAATAGCTTTCTTACTCTTATGCAATTTAAATCACACATCAGTTATGTATTAGAGGGGTAGCCGTGTTAGTCTGGATCTGTAAAAAGCAACAGAGAGTCCTGTGGCACCTTTAAGACTAACATGCGTCTGACGAAGTGGGTATTCACCCATGAAAGCTTATGCTCCAATACATCTGTTAGTCTTAAAGGTGCCACAGGACTCTGTTGCTTTTTACATCAGTCACGTTTTTCCATTCCATAGCTATAATCCATCTAGCCTAACAAACAAGGGTCCACTGGGATGTAGATATTGGAGGGAGTTTTCTTGAGCCATTTTTGGTTATTCGCTAGACTAAAACATGTAAATGTCATGTCTGTGGTTTTTTTGTTCTTTTAAGGAAATGCAGCCCTGCTTCTGATACTGTCAGCTCAGCATTCCTTTCCTAACTACAGTAAAAAGTATCTCTACCTTATCCTTGGAGTCTTGTGTCTGGAGCTGATTTGTTCTTTGACGTGCATAGTCGTTTACACAGGTAAAAACTGCAATTATTGCCTTGTTGCGTGACCACCTTACAATAGGTACTAAACTCTTTTTCTCTGTTCTCTTAGCATAGTACAATAACTTTTGGCACCAGAAGACTTGTTTGCAGCTATGATTGTAAAACTGTCTTCTCAGTATCTGTACCCATTGCAGACAATCAGATGTTCTTGTTTAAAACAAACTGGAAAGTCATTGTCATGGCTTGAACTCTAAATGTTGCCAAATAAAAACTAGGCTAGTTGTTAGAGTTTAAGGCACTTTCCCATGAAGTTAGTGATGTAGTGAAACTGAAGTAGTTAAAATAGAAGTAATTGTCTAGCACAGATTGCTAGTGTGCTTTCATGACCGTTTTGTCAAACAGACAGGTGTGTGTGTGTGTGTTGTGTTGTGTTTTGATACTGTCTCTTGAAGAGAAGTAATATTTTTCTTGTCTAGTCAAAACCACTTTCCTTTGGCATGTGGAACTTAAATGTTTAAGCTGGTATATGGCATGTCTCAATCTTCAAACTCGCAATGTCCTTCCAGTTCCTCTTCCCTACCTCTTCTCCCAATCTTATCTCCTGTAGTATTTGTTGAAGGATAGTAGTTTGTAAAGTGACACTCAGACTCTTGGAGTCCCTACTTTAATTATATGAAGCAATGTGTATCTCTAGCCCATGTTCACTATAACAATAACAGCTAGTACAAAATAATTTAATGTAGAATACTATATAGCATTACTGGCCTGATGGGTTTGGCCTAATCTTCCAGGGCCATGTTTTTTTGGTTTCTGTCTTGGTTTAATAGAACGAGCCATCACAATAAAACTCAAATTTAGTTGGCCAGATTGCTTGTATGCCAGGCTAAAAGATCATAGGGGTGACCGAGACAACATGAAATAAACTTCTACTCCTGGCTACCACTATTAAGGAAAACAAAAGGTGTGAAACACAACAAATCCAGATAAACTAGTGTTTGATTTTTAAAAGCAGAAATTAGTTCTCATGCTCTTAAATAAGATTATGCACTTGGCTTAAATGTCCTCTCTCTTGAGCTGTTGCACGTGGATTCTTCATTGCTACAGTGAAATACACAGACAAATACTACAAAGTGGTATCATCTATTTTTATATCTTGCTTTTAAACCCTGTGTAAACATCATTGTCCTTTAACTCCTGGGAATCTTCATTTTCTTTACACTATTTTTTTAAATTGGAGTACGGATTGGTTTTATTTAAAAACCTAGTAGGCTTTCATCAACTGTACTTACTTCCTAATGGGCTGGTGTACACAGCTTAGTGTGAAGTGAGACGGACCAATTGACTTCAGCAGGAACTGAGCTGCACCAGTGTCTCCTACACAACAAAATGAATGCTGAATGAAGTATCAGGTGGTTGCTAGTAGCTCAGCAAAACTACTGTGGTAGTGGAATTCAAGTTCTGGATCTCCTCCCAGTAGTTAGAAAGGAAACCAATTGCAAAACTAGAAGTGTGGTGTTGACAAAAGAAGGACAGGGATGAGAAGAGGTTGAGTTGAAAAGGGGAACAAAGTAGTTTCAGGGAGGGGAGAGGAAACAGCTGCTGTAACATTATGCTGCTGATTCTCATGGGACAATGCTGAATGCCAAAGCGACTTCTTAATAGCTAGTGTTTGTCAGTAACTGACCCATAAGGTATCTCAACTTAAAACTACTCTAGGAGAAACTTCATGACTAGAGAAAAGCCTAGTTAGTGACTTGCTATAAAGTTGTAGAGTGTAGTTATTCCCAGTTTAATGGTACACTACCAAATTCTATAAAAGTTTTGAATACACGGTTTCAAGATCTGACTTACTATTTTCTTTTTAACTTGTGTTTGTAATAGTATTGAGACTACAGCCTCAAATGTACCAATCTACCTCCCTTGGCTATAATAGAGGCTCTGACACCAGGTTTGTCTACATGGGGAATTTGACCAACATAGCTGCAGCAAAGTATTCCTGTATAGCTATGCTGGTATAACTTCCTCAGGTGAACACTCTAGTCTGGAGCAAATGTGACTTTGGAAGTAGAGTAATTACTCCAAAATAAAATCACTCTTATAGCAGAATAGTTATTCTGCTGTAGTCAGTATATTTTCCATTCTGGATATCTACTTTTAATAAGTGGATATTGTTGAAATAGTTTTCTCCTTTTAAGCACATTAAAGTAAATCAAATATCCTAATGGAAAATAGTGAGAGTTGATTTAGCTTAACCAACCCCCCCACACACAAAAAAAAAGCTGGAACATAGTTACAAAGACTTGCTGACAGAAACAGCCATCATTCACTGCCTTGAAAACTATAGCACAGATGGTGTGCACTAGCAATAAGATTTCTACCACAAGCAGAATAACCCAGTGGGATGCCATTGCTCCCCCCTCCATTACCCAACTTGCACCTTTCATCCTGGGTATGGGGGAAGGGAAGGTAATGAAAACAGCTTACAGGTCCTGTTCTCATGGTGGTTGCCTCCACTCTTTTGATTTGGGCTTTCCACAATAGCACTTGTTTTTCCTAACTGTCTTCTGAACTGTCACATTCCTCAAACTTCTTCAAACTGCTCGATAGACCTAAGGGTTTTTTTACTGCAAACATTACATTCTAAACAAAGTACTCCATTGCTTCCCTTGCACACACTGATATTCAAAGAGCAAAGAATTGGGTATTTCTTTCTCAGCCTTGATTTGTTGTCCTATTCTAACTGGATAAACAACCAAGAAAAAGCTGGTCTCCATACTAGTGTTGGAAGCTGAGCTTCATTCTCTAAACCAGGGGTCGGCAACCTATGGCACGCGTGCCAAAGATGGCACGCGAGCCGATTTTTAATGGCACGCTGCTGCCTGCCAACTCAGGCAGGCAGCAGCGTGCCGTTAAAAATCCTGCCCAGCCTGGCCCGGCCCGCTGTTCTCCACCCGCTCCTGGGAGGGGGTGGGGGGGCGGAGAAAGGGGGAGGGGGCAGAAGCTTGGTCCTGCTGGCTCCCCTGCCTCTTCCCGCAGTGTGCTGGGTTCCTGCCCCTCCTCCTCCTCTCCGTCCATCCCTCCCTGCTGGCCGATCAGCTGATTGCCCTCGCAAGTGAGGGGTCGGGGAGGAGTGGAGTCAGCCTGCTCGCTGCTCCCGGCAGAGGCAGAGAAGAAGCAGGGGCAGGGCCTTGGGGAAGGGGAGGGTGGAATAGGGGCATATCCCCTCCAGCCCCCTGCCGTGAGCACCCCACAACCTCTGCCCTAAGCCCTGCAGCCCCGCACACCCCCTAGGCCCCTGCCGTGAGCCCTGCGCCCCCCTCCCACACCCAGCCCTCTGCTTGACTCCACCCCCCCCCATGACCCCAGCCCTGACTCTGGCATCCCCACACATACCCAGGCCCCCCACACCCTATGCCCTGACACCTGCACCCCCCTCACATGTCCCCAGCCCGCTGCCCTAACTCTTGCACCCCCACATCCCCACCCCAAGCACCAAACGGGAGCTCCTGCACTCCTCCTCCCCCCCCACATTCCCACCTGCACCCCTCACACTAAATAGGAGCTGCCCAGGTAAACGCTCCACACCCAAATCTCCTGCCCCAACCCTGAGCCCCCTCCCTCATTCTAGCTCCTGGCCAGACCCTACACCCCAACCGCCAGCCTGCTCCTTCACCCCCAGCCCTGTGCTCAGTGCACTCCCACCCTCAGGTCAGTGCAGAGAGAGAGAGGAAGAGAATGGGCCAGAACCAGGGAGACGGTAGGTACTCACTGTATGTGGGCAGGGCTGGGACCCTAGACCGGCAGCGGGCTGAGCGGGTCCGGCAGTCGGGATCCCGGATGGCAGGAGCCGGCGGATGGAACCCCTGAGGGGCAGTGGGCTGAGCCACTCAGCCCACTGCTGGTCTGGGGTCCCGGCCGCCGGCCCCGCTCAGCCCGCTGCCGGCCTAGGTGAACAGAACCCCAGACCAGCAGCGGGCCAGCGGCGTAAGATCAACATTTTAATTTAATTTTAAATGAAGCTTCTTAAACATTTTGAAAACCTTGTTTATTTTACAATACAACAATAGTTTAGTTACATAATATATAGACTTATAGAGAGAGACCTTCTAAAAAACATTAAAATGTATTACCGGCACGCGAAACCTTAACTTAAAGTGAATAAATGAAGACTCGGCACACCGCTTCTGAAAGGTTGCCGACCCCTGCTCTAAACCTTCATGTGCCTTAACACAAATATTCATTGAAACTGAGCTTCACACCCCTTTAAAAGATGAGGAGTCTCTGTAATCCCATCTAATTGATGTCAGTTCAAGATATACTGCAAAACTGGAAAAGCAAGTGAGGGCTTTTTGGGTGGGGGGAGCAGGAGAGACTTAAATTGATACAGAACCACACATAGTAACTTCATGCACAAATTCTGTTTAAAGGCTAAACTCCTGAAGTAAAATGAATTTGGAATGGGTTACAGCACTGAAAAGGCGTAAACTAAATGGTGGGATAGCCCCTCAGTTTCTCTCTTGGTATTTCTGACAGAAGAGCACTACCTGAGTGCAAGCATTAAGGCTCTCTGTCAGGATGTTTGGTTTTATCACAGAACTTGGAGCATTTCTCTCAAATGCTTGAATTTCCCCCCCCCCCTCCAAAAAAAAAACCAAAAACAAAAAACCAAACACTTGCCTGGCATTCTTTCTAGTACACAGATGTCTGTTAAAGTATGTGGCTCTAAGATGAAAGCAGTGTTGATGAACATTTTAAGTCAGTTTGAGGACAGGTCTACATTAGAAACTTTTGCCAGTATAGTAACATAGGCTGGAGGCATAATTTTCTTACAACAGGTGTATACCAGCAAATCCTCCTATGGAGATGCAGTTTATACCAGCATACAAATGTTTTTGCCAGTACAGCTTTTCCCTCAAATGAGCATAAGCTAGTATAAACTGCGTCTACACTAGGAGGGTTTGGTGGCAAAACTATACCTGTCACTATAGCTTCAAATGTAGACCTGGCCGAAGGAACTCTGAAGCCTCTCAGGTTAGGTAATTCTCTTATGATAAACTACTTTTGGTAAGCTTTTCTTCTCCCCTCCAGAAGTGTTCTAGTTTAATCTATTCCTGATGTAGCCTTCTTATTTGTTTTTTAAACTAAAGCAATCTTTTCACTTACGAATTACACTAACTCAGCTGAAAGATCATAAACAATCTGAAACAGGGTTGTACCATATTTCCTCTTCTGGCACCAGAAAGTAAATTTCTTATTCTCTAACATGTGTGAGCCAGAACGGGTTGGTAGATTTTTGTATTGCTAGCAAACCACTTACACTGTCACTTGAAATAGTCCCACAACACTGGCTAAGGATTGTCTTGCAATTGTCCTCAAAACATACTGGGGACTGTTCCAATCCCAAACATTCCCTGCCCTGGAGAGTTTACACACTTTTTATTCAGTGCTCAACTTAATTTAGTTCTTAATGGAGCATACAGTAACTATACTGGCTAGGCACAAATGTCTCTAGTCTGCAACTTTTTGTGCTGTGGAGTTCAGTTAACTATATGGCTCAGGAATGAAAACTGTCTGGAAAAAGGTGGGATGGGAAGAAGTCAACATGTTTGTATAGCTTAAAAAAAATACAGCCCTGAAGCCAGAAAACCCTAGTACAGAAACAAACAGCACTGAGTCATAATTGTCCTGTTTTCTTGTATTTGTTAGCTATACAGTTAATTAGTATATTTAGTAATCTGTGAAGCATCGATGCATTTGTATGAACACAAACATTAAAATCCAGTACGCAGAAGTAGATGTAAAGCAAGTTTTACATAGGTACTTGAAGTCCGTGATATCACACTTTTTTTGCTATTGGTTAAACATGTTCTGGCACAAGCTTGTTAAGGAATGAGTAGCTTTGTATTCCTTGTTGACCCACTGCCACTCTTGCTGCCATGGGAGATAATCGATATGGAATCAGTATTGACTGCATAGTAATCTCCAATAGCAGAGAATCTCTTGGATTGAGATGTTCTTGATTTATGGGATACAGTGTAATGTAAAGAACTCTATAAAAGCAGGCTAGCATTGAATGAACTACTCTGGAGTCAAAATTCTGAAAGCTCATTTCCTTATCACACCAATATTAAATCCTCTTTTAAAACACTTCCTAAATACAGGCATTAAAAGCTTCTGGTTACACCCTGCCCTACATACTTCTTGCTGCACTGTTGAATGTCTGTTCAGAGGCTTGCAGTGTCCCAGACCAACTTGTCTTCCTGCAATGAATCTTTAAACTTGCTTGTAGGCAGTCTACTCTTCTGTATACAAGGAATTGTGATGTAATTTCATGTCCAAGCAGAACAAACTGGACCGTAATACTATTTTAATGCCTAATACCATAGGCCAAATCAAATTTGCCTACATGAAGCACTCCTTGTTCCCCCGTGACACTGACAAGATACTGTAAATCCTCTTTCTACAAACCAGGTACATCATGGGCACTGAAAGACAGCTTTCCCTTCTCCCCTGTCAGTATGCCTCCCTCTTCTGGAGGAACCACCTCTGGAGGGTGTGACCAACTTTGTATCCAGTGCCATTAATTCCTTAGCTGCTGATTGGTGACTCATCTTGAAGGATGCTAATAAGTACTAGTTGCAATGAGGGAACCTGTCCACCAAGGCCTTGTCTAAACACATAAGCTGTACCACTTCATCTACACTGGCAGAAAAATCACTTCCTCTAACCAAAATAGCTACTTACTTGTCTGCAGTTTTATGCTAATTTCAGTCCTTAATTAGGTCATTGAATGAAATGGTGGCAACTTACTGTCAATACAGAGCTGATGTAAAATGTAGTGACATATATGTGAGACTTGATATCTGATCCTCCTGAGTTGGTGGGGGGTGAGAGGAAATTTCAAATCTATATTCAACTAAAATGAACTCTTCTTGGCTATTTTCTCTGCTCTTGGCAGCAATGGGAGGCACCTTATGACTTGTCTCTATTGTCAGTAGAGATGTAATTCTTTAAACTCTACACTTATAATACTACCAAATAAAAGATTAATATTGTCATGGACAAGTCATGTTGGAAATTCCTGGTATCTCCTTAAGCTGGTTTTCTCTGTATAATACTGTGATAGATGTGATAACTTCCTAGCCTGACATGGCTAATCTCTTGAGGGTCTTGTCTTATTCTAGCAAAGTGACCATTTAATAAACCCTACAGCATTCTTGACTGGTAAAGGACAATTTCTTCCACATAGGTGCCAAAGTAGCTTGATTCATTTTCATTTTCATAATGTGCGGTAACAATACAGAGTGAAACTCCACCAAATATCAGGACTTTCATGAGGATTCTCTGAAATTTAATATAGTTATTAGGACTGGTTGATCATAACTATACAGCACTCCCACACAAGATACTGCTGTACATGAGATTGGAATGCTGCAAATAGAAAAGGAAAATGACCACTAATGATACAGACAACATGGTTCCTAGCCTGCTCTCTAAAGAGTTGTTTTGTGAACTTGGCAGATTTGTACACAATTAAGAACAAGACAGTACAGACAGGTGAGAGCAAGCGAGTTTTATCATCTTCCTGTATCTTTCAGGAAATGTAACATTCCCCAGCTCTTGGGGTAGGGTGCCCAGTAACAGCCTTAAGTACAAGCAGAGTGCTGCGTGGGGTTCTTGCAGCTAGTGCAAGCGCCACAATGCTAGGCATGCCCTTATGCAATTTTGAGCAGCAGGACCAAAGGAAATGCCAATTCTTAACGTGTAACCTGACCCTCTTGTTGGGATCCCTGGTTATCTCCCTTACTGTAACCTTTAAGGCAGGTTTTAACCCTGTGTAGGACTCCGAGTTGAGGAGCCAGACCATGCTATTAAAAACTGTCTGCATTAACTACCTCTTTTTATTTCAGTGAAAATAAGCAATTTCAACAAGGCAAGGCCAAGGCCTGATATAATTGAAGAAGAAAAGATGTATGCTTACCCCAGTCGCATTACCTCGGAGATTGGATTCAGGTAACCTCTTCTGTTATCTTCAGTTAGTTTATTTGGGTAACTGTGTAAACACTTAGTATCAATTTCTGTACAGAATGGCGTGTGGGACCTTAAAGCTGTAAGGAAAAATAGAAAGGTGATATTAAAATTCCTTAATGGACTTCTGTAGCATTTCAGCTGCTGTATCATAGACACAAAAAAATCAGAAACTGTCAAGATGGTCCCCCTCAGCAATGGTAACCTGATAAATACAAAAATACTTAATCATGAAAAGGGTATGTCATTGCCTTAAAAGGTACATAGGGGCCATATGACCATTACTGGTAAAATTTTATATGAATCTCTACTATGATGTGCTAAATGTAACTAGCTGTGCTTATTAAACTAGCTGCACTTAATCTCCTAACATAGTTGGTTTTAAGCAGTCTGTGGAGAAATACTGCTGTCTTGGATGTTATTTCAAATGTGTCTCTGTATAAACTAAGAAGCTCTTGCCCAGAAGGAGTTGGGTAGATAGCTGGGAGGGAAGTGAATTGGGTGCTCTTTGCTAGAAGGTCAGAAGTGGTGTGTTTTTTTGCAGCTTGAGGTCAGGGATTTCTCTCTTAAGCTGGGGTCAGGAGCAGCTGGTATAGGGTGGGAAGTATATTTCCACTTTTGGAGAGGAATTCTACAGATATATTGCATATTTTGTGCGTGTTGGCAGAGGGCAGAGACCATGAATAAGCCTATTTGCAGAGACCAGTCATTCAGCCTGCTCATGTTAACCTGACAAACACCCTGACCCATTTACTTTTTTGACTACTACATATTTCAGCCACTGCAAGGTGTTCAAATGTTTGTATTAAAAGATTAGGGTACTGGTTGTGGGGGAACTACTCCCCCTCCTCCTTGCATCTAAGCTAGACTGCACATGTAGATCAAATCTGTGACTAAATACCCCATCTGTCATGGCATACTAGCATGGAAACAGTCTGTTGGTGGGGTGCTGAGAGAGAGATCTAACAATTCTGCTAGTCAGTCTCTTCTGAACCTTGATGTTCACAATTTCAAACTTCCATGCACTTTCTGGAGAAACTGATGTGCGGCCCCTCCCCCCAAACAAGCAGCGCAGAAACCCAGGATGTAGGGAAGGTCTTCAGTGGAGTTATCTTATCACAATGTCTGCCTATCTGGGATGGACGGTCGGTCTCTCTCTCTCTCTCTCTCTCTCTCTCTCTCTGTCCTGTGTGTGTGTGTGTGTGTGTGTGTGTGTGTGTGTGTGGTACAATCTGTATAAGGGATCACAACCCTTATTGATTCAACTCCCGAGGGGCGGCACCAGGGCAGCAAGCCACGGGGGGCGGCCTGCCGGTTGCCGTGGGGGTGGCAATCAGGCTGCCTTGGGCGGCATGCCTGTGGGAGGTCTGCCTGTCCCGCGGTTTCGGCGGCGGGTACGCCGAAGGCGCGGGACCGACCGATCTCCCGCAGGCATGCCGCCGAAAGCCGCCTCACTGCCGTGCTTGGGGTGGCAAAATACATAGAACCGCCCCTGCAACTCCCCTCTTGACTCAGTCTCAAACATTCTGAGAACATTTCTGCATCACTCTGTAGTAAGACCACCTGTGCTGAGCAAGAGACTTATTGACCCCTTGATTGTTTAAAGAGCAGGTCTACTGTGAAAAGTTCCGTAAAAGGAGGACAGAGATATTAGAGAATTCCACGCTTTCTTGTTCTTTAGATCAAATGTCTACTTAAGAATAACTTTGCAGGGCTGACAATTCAAGTTGGGATCTGAGAAGAGCTGTTCCCTTCCTTCTCATACTTACTCAGTAGTAAAAGTCCTGCAGGCAGTCTTTTGCCCTCAATAACTTGTGCAGCCCTGTTGGCTTAAGTGGATTTGTACTGGTGTAACTGACAGGCCTGGAACTGTAACTATTAAACAACTCTATTGATGTACAAGAAGAGACTGCAGCTCCATTCTCAGGGCTGCACTGGCTCTGTAGGGTTAACAAGAATACAAACTAGTGAAGCTTCTTAAATGTGGCACCTTCTGTGCCAAGTTATTCTTCAGAGTAGAACTGCACTCTAGTACATGTAGTACACCTCTACCTCGCTATAACGCTGTCCTCGGGAGCCAAAAAAATCTTACCGCGTTTATAGGTGAAACCGCTTTTTATATCGAACTTGCTTTGATCCACCGGAGTGCGCAAGCCCCCTCTTCCACCTCTTTTCCCCCCCCCCACCCCCCCGGAGCACTGCTTTACCGTGTTATATCAGAATTCGTGTTACATCGGGTCGCGTTATATCGAGGTAGAGGTGTATTGTACTCAGAAGTCCACAAAAGTATGTATTTGGATATATGTGGACGAGACTAGAAACAGGTGATTGAACATGCGTAAAGCTTTATAAAAGGCTTAAATTTATTAGAGCACAAATTCTAGGATTTAAGTGTGAAGTGCTCCTCCTAATGTGTTCTAAATAAAAAAAAAAAAATTGGATTTCCAAAAGTCCTCTCTAGGCCAATAAGAATGAAACTTCAGCCAGCATGTAATCTTGACTGTTACATGTCTGAAAAAAGGCCATTGGATGGCACTACTAGCACCAATTATAGTTAAGGCTGCACAACATTCTCCATTAAAGATCCTGTTTTCAGTTGTATAACTACCAGACTCTTGCTGTTTGGGCTGAAATTTTCCAATTCAGATACCTGCCTCTGAACTTTTGGAACATTTTCAGCAAACATGGTTCAGCCATCTCAAAGAAAGAATGTGGGAAAGATTCTTCTTATCCATGGCTTATTTGTAGGAATTATTGTTTTTTAATTGCATGGCTGACAAGCTGTAGCATTTCCATACTCTGGAGGGACTCAAAACTTGGCACTTTACTGTCAGGGGTTTTGTTCAGGGGGCGGAGGGGAAATAATACTATACGCACAAGGAGTTGAATTAAAGTTGAACCAGGTAACCTTAAATCTGGCACTTGCTATTCTAGAGTGCTTGACTTTGTAACTTGAATGTTTAAATATAGTTCTTTTGGATTTAATTATTAGCATAATGGTGTTTGGTGCTGAACTGCAAAGGAAAAACCGATCCAAGTAATCACTTAGTATGGAGGACACTGCTTCTTGAAGTCTCCTGTGAACTATTTTCAGCTGCATCATACAAACAAGTGCTGTTCATTATTAGTTTAACTGTAAATTGAAATGCATTTTCCTGGGGTCTAAATGAGGCTAATAGGCTCTGGCAATGACCACTAAATTATAAACCTTCTTATCTATTCTTCTTGACTCTTTATGGTAAGTAACTTCTTAATTCGGGGTATAGGAAGAAGCCATTACAGCGTTCTTTAGTACAAGAGAACTGGCTAAATTCTAGCCAACAGCGAAGCACTTCGCATTTGATACTTTTGTAGGGTGACCAGATGTCCCGATTTTTTGTAGGGACAGTCCCGATTTTTGGGTCTTTTTCTTATATAGGCTCCTATTACCCCTCGCACCCCCTGTCCCGATTTTTCACACTTGCTGTCTGGTCACCCAATACTTTAGCCTTTTTTCTTAACATCAAGCCATGTAGTGTATTTATATACATGTTCTATTTTGGTTATGATTTGATAGCAATATATTAGAAGGCATTTCAAAGATGTCTATCCAGAATAGCGTATTTCAGTGCAAGTACACTACATGGCTTGAAGCTTAAAAAGCTCTATGCAAACCAGAGCAAACAATATTAAGCCAGCTACAACAAAATGAAACAAAACTTGTTTATGTACACTATTGAGGCACCAAAGAAATCTTTGAATGATGAGTACAACACTAGTTTATAGCTTTTACCAAAACTCTTCTGTCCAAATAACTTCTGAATATTATTGTAACGTTGTCACGTAACCACGTTGTGTTTGGCTGAAGATGTTTAACACTAAAGTTAAACTATTTGCCTCTACAAACCAGGCCCTGGAAGAGGGCCTGTGTTTAATGGCTAACTCCCTACCCTTACCCTCTGACCCTTTCCCCTTAGGGTAATTCTGTTAAATTTGAGAGACCAGGTGGATTTTTAACCACTTTATTGAAAACCACAATAGTATTCAAATGAATGCTTACTTTACTTGCTGTATGGCATCCTGGGATCAATTTCACTCCCTGCTGGGTGGCCTGAGCAGATGAACCTTCCTCTCTGTTCAGAGTCTGTCTCCTCTTCACTCAGAGAAGCTTTTAACTTGAGAGAGAGTGGGGTTATGCATGTGCCTTGTAATCGTCATATGCATAGGCTTCCCAGACAGATCCAACCACAGCTTCTTTTGCTATCAAAGAATATGGAACTCATACATGTACTACAACATTAAACAAAACACATGGTAAAATGCTGATGGGATGGACATTAAAACTAGAAGGGCAAATGTTTCTTGCCCCAGGGACCCAGGAAGATCTAAGGGTGCTGCCTGTATGGGGCCTCTCCAATCCCCTTACACCCATATAATTTTGCTAAAGGCTCAGATATTCCTCTTATGGCCCAAACTATAGTCTCAGAGTAGGAAAGTAATCAAGAGGAACTAAACCAAAGGGGTTTGTAGAAGTATCATCAGTTAGCTCCAATCTCCTTTTATGTGTAGTGATAAAAAATGTGTAATATACTCCTTTAACACACATTGTGAATGACTTTCCTCCTTTTCTTATGTCTTCAAGGGAAAGCTCAAGTTTGGAAGAAATAGTTGAAAAGCAAGGAGATGTGATAGACTATCTCCAACGACACAATGCGCTGCTCAGCAAGAGACTACTAGCACTAACATCACAGCAAATCAGAGGTTAGAAATATCCAGGAAGCTGCTGCTGCATTTTAAGAGGAATCCAAAGCAATATAATTTGATTTGGAGGACAGACAACTCCACTTGATTACTGTCTCTAATGGAAGTAGTATAGCTCTCAAGTTGGAAGTATGAATTCTATTAGAAGTGTAAAATCTGCAGCTGGAGATATTGTCTATTTTGAACAAACTCTTTCTTTGAGGATGTTAACTTTTGCTGGGCTGAAGTTGGACCTGAGCTCCCTGACTAAACTTTGTTTTAATGTTGTTCAATTGAGATTTTTTGCACTGTTGTAACAAACTCCAAACTACCAAAGTCGTCTGTGCTTCTAGAACTCAAATATTTGTTTTCCAGAATGAAACATTGCTGGGTATGGCCCCTTCTGACTTTCTGGGTTTCTTATGGTAGAGGTTGAGATGAAATCAAATATTGTAACATGCTATAACAACTGTGCTCATTGTCTACCATGTTGAGTTTTTAAAGGCTATTTATTTCAATATTCCTTAAACACACTTCTACAGTTGGAGTGGAAGAGTCTATAGGGCAAATTGAAGAGACTCAGTTTCTGGATCAGTGTCTTTTGCTGTTGTGTGTTAAAAAGGGTAACTACACAAATGGGGAGATCAAGCAAAGATGAAGAATCAGGTGTTTGGTCTAAAACACATCCAAGTCTCTCCTTTGTGTGCAGGAAACGTAGGATTTCATGTCACTAAGCATAGCATGTAAAAACTAGGCTCGCAGACATTTGATCAAATTGATGGCTGATCAAGCATCTAAACAGAATTTCAGTGTAAAATGTCTAAATCTGATTTTTAGAGCTGTCCTAAATATTTGGCTTTTTTGCTGAACTTTTTCCCAAGAACTATAAATAGGAACTATTCTGCATTAAATATTTATATTTGGAGAGAGCATTTTTGTAAACTACTCTCTAAACTTGTTGTTGACTCTTTAGTTCAATACAATCTCAGTATAATGCTGGGAGTGGTGGTCATCTCAGAACACCAAAGGAAAATTACCCCATCCTGTCTTGGTTCTGGGACACAACTTGGTGTCCAATTCTATTGTAATCACTCAGAGTAATTAATAACATACGATACTTGTAGTTGAGGGACAACAGGAAAATTGGAGACTTGCTGCTATCTGACATTATTATTCTTTTCTCCCTAGCTGTATTTTTCAAAATACAGCCGATTTTATACTGAATATTTGAGGGATATATGAATCTTTGGTTTTAGAACACTCAGGTTTTGATGTAACTGCGTATAACCGTTTGTACATATATCTGTCTGAAAAGCTGAGAATGTGACTGAAGTTCATGCACAATAAATGCAATTAAGGAAAAGTTTAAAGCCTTTCATTACAATGATCATATCTACTCTTCAAATATTTAAAATGGGATCTCTTAATTTAAGGATTTTGGACCAGTCTGGAAAAGCAAGAGTTGGATATTGCCTTTTAATCTGTAATACCGGACAGCAGCATTTAGATGAAGAAGGCACTTTGCTAAACTGCTGATCACAGTAAAACCCTGCAAAGAGGAAGAACAGGATCTACTCATTTATGAATACTCCAGGTGCTTATGTTCTAAAGGTAACATGAGGGCTAGTAAAAACTTCTTAAGGGTGCCTTTCTCCAGAAAGTTCCTACAATGGTGATAGCAGCCTTATCTATCATGGATAAGTTGCTCTAAATTCCTGCTGCCCGGAAAACAGTAAGTTTGGGTTAGCTTGATGCAGCTGGTTCCTGCTGGAGTATCCCGCTGAAGCTAGCTTGTAGTAAAGTAGTAGGTAATAGCATCGTCACTTACTTGGCTGTCCTTAAAGCAAACTTCTCCACTGCATCAGTGGAAGAAACTAATGGGCCATGTGCAATAGAATAATACTTGGTACTAAGCCATGTGGGAAACCTACCTAAGTGAGAGGATAGCCCAAACAGAGCACCTGATGGCTTCGCTTGCAGTGAATCCTCTAGCTCCACACCAATGGAGAAACTTTAAGATCTGAATGAAGTGCTCACAGACTAGAATCTAGCGCTTCTTCACAATCTCACTGGAACTAGGGCTCGGTCTACACTTGGAACTTATGTCGGTATAACTACATTGCTCAGGAGTGTGGAAAATCCACACTCCTGGGCAACATAGTTACACCAATCTAACCCCCGATGTAGAGTGTGCTATGTCAATGGGAGGGCTGCTACCATCTCTTGGGGACATGGAGTTCCTACGCCAATGGAAGTAGTTCTCCCATTGGTATAGGTAGCATCCTCACTAAGTGCTACAGTGGTGCAGCTTCACCACTGCAAGTGTAGACAAGCTCTTGGTTTTGCTATTGCTGTCTAATAATAGGGGACAGAATCTTAATTCAGATTTGGTTCAGCTATAGCTGCCTTCTGTGACCTCAGTTTCTTTTCAGTCCCATTCTGAGACTTAATTGCTCAGTCTCCTAGAAGCTTCCTTTAGAGGATCCCAGGAAAACAAATCATAAGAGGTCTCTGAGCCTTGTGAGGGGTGAGTCTGGTGGCTCAGACAATGGCAGAGGGCAAAAAGGAACAGGATGGGCCAGGTACCACGAGATTTCCAGCCCCCAAAGGATTTCCGGAGTGGGCTGGAGGTCTTGTGAGATTTGGCAGGAGATTTGGAACCATGATAGGAGCTCTGTACTTAAGGCCACTTCCTGTTTTTTTCTAGTAGACAGAGTATGCAGATAATCACATGGATTAGAGGCAGCAGTTTGGCAATGACCAAAACCAACTCAATTATGCAGGGCATGTGGCTGGCCAACTGCAGCATTGGGACCAAGAACCTGTGGGGCAGCAGGATGGGCTAACAGACCTGGGACAGCTGCTTGATGCAGGGGGCTGTGTTGCCTATCCCAGGTGGGAAAGCAATGGGGAAAAGTCAGGAAAGCGAGAGGAAACAGCAAAAGGCTAGGAAGGGAACCACATCCTAAGCAGCCAGGGATAGGGCAACTCATGGAGATAATGTGCAGCTTGAAAACAATGCCCAGGTGCAATGCAACACCTCTGTCCTTGCAGCAGAGTGATTTCACAAACAATCGGGGCCCACTGTGAGGGGGGGAGGGGGTCAGGCCCTAGGTTCCAGCCTCCTCAGTGGGTGTGTTTTGGGGTTCAGCATATTCCTTCAGTGTGGCCTTATGGTCTCAGGTGAGTGCTTCTGGTGGAAGTAATGGGAGGAGCTCTAGGTAGCTTCAGGGTCTGGCCTGTAGGGAACCATAAGAGGAATGTGAACAGTGGGTCATACAACACACTGGCTGTCTTCAGGTATTGGGGATGGAGGAGGGGGAACCCAAGGCCTGAGCCTTCCAGCATCTCAGTCAATGGCCTTACAGATTCCAGCCAACAGGCTCCCTCATTCCTAACCCTACAGCCTCGGGTCCTCTCTGTGTGTCCGTCTGCGTCTCTCTCCTCTCTCCTCCCTCTTCCCTCCCCCCATTGGCTCTCTACAGCAACCTATTGGGTCATAAGAATGGTCATACTGGGTCAGATTCAGTGGTCCATCTAGCTCATTATCCTGTCTTCCAACAGTGGCCAGTGTCATATGTTTCAAAGGGCATGAACAGAACAGGGCAGTTATCGAGTGATCCAAGCCCAGCTTTTGGCAACTGGAGGTTTAGGGTCTACTAATATTGGTCTGAATCCAGTGTCTTATACAGCTGTTTCTGATCAGTTGGGGGCCTATCTTCTCCAGTCGATGCGTGAGAAGATATGGCAGGCAGAGTATATGAACAGCAGCTCAAGTCCACTCAGAGGGTGGTTGGGGCCACACAGCTGAAAAGAGCAACATATCCAATTAATGGGTGTTTTAGCCCCCCTTTTCAGGAATTAGCCCAAGGAGGAGGATTCCATATATTTGTGGAAGGTTTTTGTTAGGGTTTCAGGATCCTGTATGAAGGGGACAGGGTGCATGTAATGGCAAATAACTTCAGATCTGTTAAAGTAATGGAGGGCACTGCCAGGGATAAGATCTAGAAAGGGTTATTTTGAGCAGAGTTGTGGGTCCCTTTTGGCTATTGCCACAGCCTAGTCTTCATATCTTCCCCTTGGGCCTTGTCACGTAAGTGTCCAGTGAGTGTCTTCTTATTCATGATCTCTTGTACCCAATGGGAGAATTATTGACTGATGTGATTAACCCCAAGCTGTGCATTGTGCCCTATGTATCACTTGATGCAATGGTGCATGTAGTCGGCTTGTGCACCACTGTACCCTTGCTTGCAAAGACTGACAAAATTGGCATTCTGCCTCCTCCTGGTCTACCCGACAGACTCTGATCTCTTGGGGTTTTCCTTTCATGGTCAGTTTTATGTGAACAAAGCAATGCCCATGAGCTGTGCTATTTTGTGTGCAGTCTTCAAAAAAAATTCAGTACAATGTTGGACAGGTGAGTTAGGAGGACTGCAGGATGCCAGCAGGCTTCCACTCATTCCATATAGGGTCTGCAACAGTGGCTACCCAGTTGGGTTTGGGTGCATCAGATGTCCAGGTTATAGGACACTGGTAATCCAGGCCTATAAATTCTTAATGTGCTTGCCTGGGGGAGAGGTGGATGCAGATTGGGGGCTATAAGTGCCACTGGTTTTAATAATGTCTACTTCTTTCCTATGTCTATTGTATATAATGCACCAGTATAGTCAGTTTACAAGAGTGTGTAATTCAGTGACAAGCTTGTAGCTGAGCCTTGCCTGGGATATGATTTTTGTCTTGGCACAGTATCTGGGGCATGTGCTGGGAGCAGTTCATGTCTCTCTTGCATGGGCTGGCATGTTGGTCATCATTGTTCTCCCCATAATGACCTGAGAACCTAATCCAGGCTCAAACTGACTTGAAAGCTCCCATGGATGTTGGGCGGGAGGTGGCTGTATTTCCTGGCATGGGGATAGTATGGTTGGTTGGTCCTGGATAATCTTGGTAATGGGCGGCCTGAACTCTTGTGTAGTGCACATGCATGCCCTACCCTGAGCTTCCTGGCTATGGGATATTCTGGGGCAGATTTTTCAGTATCTGTTGTTTGGAGCTGGTCCGCAGGGCATAAGCTAAATATGCATGGGGCCAAAGACAGCGACTATAGCCTAGTGGTTAGAGCACTCTACTGGGAGGTGGGAAGCCAATGTTCAAATCCCTGCTCCATATCTGGAAGTGAGTCTCCCACATCCTTTGAGTGTTCCAACCTGTGGGGAAGAGGGAGGGGGCCGCACTACCTTCTCCTTTGTGTGGATAGACATGCTACCTAATCATGCCCTGCAGGCAAAATAGGGGAACATCTAGTTTGAGAATCCCACTGCGTCTTAGGCCTGAGACTAGCAGCTGGGTACCTGGACTCAAGCAACTGCATGCATGCTCACAAGCAGAAACTTGGACTTTAGGCATCTACAGTGTTAGGTGGCAGTTAAGCAGGAGTTTGAAGATTCAGTGATGCCTAAAGCAGCAGTTAAGCACTTAAAGCTTTTGTGAAGCTAGCCCAAACTTAATTTCCATAGCCATTTGTGCCCACTTTTAAAAGTCAAATTTGTTTAACATCAATAGGAATGTTAAGCTAATGCTGAGCACCTCTGAACTCCCACCCAACAAATTGAGCTTCAAAAACACACAGAATCCTTATAATTCCCTATTTTCATAACTTAAATCTCTTCTGCTTAAATTTGAGGGCCTGGTTTGACAGGATACAAGCAGCAATTCATACCAATGAAGACTTAGTAATGCTAATTGTGTAACTGAAACTGTGTTCAGATTATGAAGCTTTTTACCTTCTTGCCTCTGGGTGGAATTCAGTGCTTTCAGCTTGCAGTAATTGAGCAAATGTATTTGTCTTTCTTCAATAAGGAGAAATAGAATGAGGGAACCTCTACTTTCATGTCATCTATGGCTTTGCTACAGAAACTTGTGCTGAGGCATGTTATACAAAGTAAACTGCTTTCCCACAAAGCAAATGGCATGACTGATAGGTCATGGGTTTTGATCTGATGACCAGTTTTCTGGCTTTAATTAAAGTTCAGATGTGTGTGTTTTCAAGTGATATAGTACCCATCCAGCTTGGTTCAGCACACTTCGGGGGGGGGGAAGGGACGACGGACAAACTGGCAACACATTCAGTTTTATGAAGTTCAGAATTCAAAGTTGAAATTAGTTCTATTCACAATTAATGTGGGAGATAACTTCACAATATGCTTTTTATTTTTTCCTACTTCTAGACACTGACACATAAGCAAATACTTCATGATTCAAGTGCAGCAATGCAGCAGGCAGACTGTTATACCCATGTTTAGTTGGCATGTTGTACTCACTGCTCTGCAAACCCTCAAACTCCAATTTAAAAGCACAG